ATATTTGACTCCTTTCTTTCTTTCTTTCTTTCTTTCTTTCTTTCTTTCTTTCTTTCTTTCTTTCTTTCTTTCTTTCTTTCTTTCTTTCTTTCTTTCTTTCTTTCTTTCTTTCTTTCTTTCTTTCTTTCTTTCTTTCTTTCTTTCTTTCTTTCTTTCTTTCTTTCTTTCTTTCTTTCTTTCTTTCTTTCTTTCTTTCTTTCTTTCTTTCTTTCTTTCTTTCTTTCTTTCTTTCTTTCTTTCTTTCTTTCTTTCTTTCTTTCTCTTTCTTTCTTCAGTCAGGGACAATACACAATATTAATAGAGAAAATGCAGAGAAAGTAAAATGCACCAGATTTTTTTTTTTTTAATGAATTAGTAAATGTGGAAATGAAAAGGTGCTCTTATATGGCTGGGTTTATTATTATATTATATTATATTATATTATATTATATTATATTTTTTTTTTGCCAAACAGTCATTGTCAAGTAGATACAGAATGTTTAATGCAAGAATTGTTAAAATTTTGATAAATTACGTTTAAAAATGTTATTAAAGATGAACTAGAATTAATAAAAACAGATTTATCTAAGGTGGCTAATTTTCAAACTGTATTAGTAAATGTTGAAATTAAGAAGTGCAATTATGTAGCTGGCTTATTTTATTTTATTTTATTTATTTTATTTTTTTTTTCCTAATACTGGCTTATTTTATTTTATTTTATTTATTTTATTTTTTTTTTCCATAATCAGAGCAACTATGATTTGGACAGTCATTGCCAAGTAGATTCAGAATCTTTAATACAAGAATTATTAAAAACTTTTAGTTTAAAAATATTAACAAATGTGGTAGAAATATCGCTTGTTGTTAGTTCATGTTAACTAAAGTTCAAAGCGAGATCTTACTGTAAATTATTAGCAGTGTTAACATTATACAGCATGTATAATTTTTAAATGTTATTTATTTATTTTTACTGAAAACATAAAATAAAATAAAAAATATTTTTGTTTTCATACTGCAAAGATTGCTTTCTACTTTCTTTTAAAAATAGATATTTTCTTTTAAAAACATATAATTTCTCTTTAGTTTTTGAAGAAAGACTGTGCAGATCTCTCTTTGAGTGATTTGAGTGATTGCCAGGGTGGTTTTTGGTGGTTTCTTCTTGTCTTGCATGAAAAGATGATCTGGTGTCTGATCTGTTTCTTTTTTCAATGCGAGTCTGTGGGATTTTTTCATCGTCCTGCAGGTGAAAAAGCTTGTTTTAGTCGTGTTAGAGAAGGTTTAGATGACATACAGCACAAAAATGCTCCTGTTCAGCGCATGGTGTCTGTTTAAAACCTGTTCGTCTCACACACACAAACACACACACACAAACACACACACACACACTCAAACTCACACGCACACACACACACACTCGCTCATCCTCAACACGTGCCCTAATTTGTCCCCCGTCCCAAGCAGCTATTGTAATGCACAATAGAGGAGGACTGTGAATAATGGTTTGTGTGGAGTTTAGCCCATTCAGAGGGAAAGTGGCTTCTGTCGTGCTCTTCTCTTTGACCAGAAGGGCCTGCAGTGTTTCTTTCTCATGCTAAAGTCTTTGAGCGGACAAAACCGCAGTGAGGAGCGTCAGGCCTCCGTGTCCGGCGTTCTGACACGTGCCTGTCCGATGAATTCTGACGCCGAGAAGGAGAATGTTATGAAAGAGCGTGATTCGACACGAGAGAGAGAGAGAGAGAGAGAGGACATTCTTGTGTAACATTTGGATTTAAAATAGAAATAAAAGAATTAACAGCAACTATGCCATGTATAATTCTCCACTGTAAGTCTCCAATTATTTTTGTTAATGGTGGCTTATATAGTTCTCTCCACTCTGGTTTTACATCGTCATGAAATTCACAGATAGTGCGCCAGGGTGAATCAACTCTTTCATGTAGGCCTTTTTTATTGAAAGCTTTTACACAAGCATTGTACATTTTTTTCCCCCTAACTTCATATAAATCCATATCTGGTACATTTTCTAAAAAAACTCCAGAGTAATCCCCTAAATCTGGGGACAAAAAACACTTAGGAAAAGTATCTTTATCCTCAGGCAAAAATTCTTTGACAAAAAAAGAATCAAGCATATTCAGAAGAAGTTTTAGTCTGAGAAGAGGCCTGTAGGTGATTCTAGTCAGGACAACTGAAAATAAGATTTTTTTTAAATGTTTTTTTATTGTATTTTTTTATTATTATTTTTTCTTTTCTTTTCTTTTTTATTTTATTTTAAAATTAATTTAATTTAATTTATTTATTTTTAATTTAATTTAAAATATCTATTTTATTATTATTATTAAATAAAAAAAAAAATATGTATTTTTCCCTAATCAGAGGAACTAAAACAGTCATTGCTAAGTAAATTCAGAATATTTCATGCAAGAATTGTTAAAAATTTGTTAAATTTAGTTTTAAAAATTTGTTAAAGAATAACTAGTATTACTAAATTCATTAAAACCGATTTAGCCAAGGTGGCCGATTTAAAAAATAAAAAATTGACTTTTTAAGTTAAAACAATTGGAGTGTAATGACTCTTAGTCCATGTTTATATGCTGTTTATGAAGTGTAAGAACAAATATCTGCTCAATGGTTTGATTTTTCTGACCATATCTTGAAAAGTCTTAAATTTACCTTCGTAAAACCTGCAGAAACAATCACGTTTCAATCACAATATGACAGCAGTATTGCACTACACTACAAAATTCTTTGATTTAATTACATTAATTTGCAGCTTACATTTGCAGTGTACTGTACTTTAAAGTAAACGAAGAACAGATTCCCTTTATAGTCATAATATAATAATTAAAATGGCATAATTAAAATGATTTGATTGGCTGCTACAAATGTACCTAAAATACGTAAATGTATAATTTATTTTATTCAATTTTTGAACCCGATCTGTTGCACTGATTAATTTTTTTATATGTGATATTTGGCTGTTTTTTAAATTGTTGATATATAAACAACAGCAATATAAAATGTTAAAAGGTTATCATATTGCAGTTAAATCTGAGTATTTGTCAAGATAAATAAAAATTTTTTTTTTTTTAAATAATTCAATAATATAATTCTCT